AAGTATAGGTAACCCAGGTACTTGAAAGTTTGAGATTTTATATCTTAGGTATCAAAATGAAGGTTTTGAAAGTATATTACCCAAAATAGGAATAAAACTAAAGTAAGTTACATTTTTATGCAATTTGCCCATTTTAAAATTAAGATAGTTTATGGTTGACAATCATGATTGAAACTCGAACTTGTTAAATGCTTAAATCATTAAGGTTGTGAAAGTACATGGGACGGGACAGGACATGACGAGACAAAACTCACTGTCCCATGTTTGGCGCAACATGAGAGAGAACAAGAACTCACTGTCCCACGTTTGGCACGACATGAGATAACTGGAATAAGGTGGGACAACATGGGAGAAAAGATGGTTTTTCTTGTTCCACCATACAAAAATGAGACATAAACTAAAATATTACTAATCTACCGTAATTTGATATATAACCTTAATATGATATTTGTTTTAATGATTATCACCGCTAGTTTCGGCAGCCCGCCACCACTACCGGCGGCCACGTCCTCTTCCACTACAACAACATCCTCCATCGCCTCCACATCCACCGTCCACCAAGTCCATTGCCACCTCTACCATAATCGACCGCCATCCATTGCTACCACCACTACCGCCGTTCGCCACCTTCAACTCCTCCTATACTCCAACAACCTCCTCCACGACCACCATCGGCCACCACCATTAATTGCCACCTCACCTCCACCATAACTACCACCACCACTATCTTCACTACATCAACCACAACTACCTCCTCCATCGTGGTCAATCACCACCACCCCACAATCTACCATCTTCATGTGCTCTATAACCACCGTCGTCCACCAAACACCATTGCCTCTACCAACATAACCACTGTTGGCCACTGACCACCATCGCCCGTTGCCACTAGGCCACCGACCACCACCGCCACGTTGCCACTATTACCGTCGCTACCACCACAACTACTATCATCAATTATATCAAAATTTTCATTCAAATTTAGTACAAATATGAAAATTATGTACAAATATTTATAAATTAATTTATTTAATTATTTACTTTATTTGTGTTAATTATAACTATTATATAATATTTAAAATCATCATATAACTTTTGGGGGTAGCTTGTCTAGTTTTGTACCGTCTAGTTCTAGTCGTACCAAACACCAGAGATGCTCCTGTTATGTCCAGTCTTATCCCGTCCAGTCCTACCCTCTTGTCCTGTTCTGTCCAGTTCTGTCATGTCCAATTATGTCTGCATGTCAAACGCTACCTAACTGCACTTGTTAAACTTGCTGTTACTTTATATTAAAAATAAGGTTAAATGATAAAATAACAATCTACTTTCATAAATGTTTTTATTATAACATTCTATTTTTGTTTTTCTTTATTACAACAATTTACTTCCAAATTATTTTTTTATTAAGACATTGTACTTTAAAAAATCTATCTCTTATACCAATGAGTGACCCGTTACCTTTAAACCGGTTAATCATTGACTTTTTTGCTTGTGTGCCTTTAATGAGGTGATGTGGATGACACAT